GGGGGGGTGTATGGGAGTATTGGGGGCCGATATGGGGGTGTCGGTGGTGTTATTAGGGGTTCTGGACCCCAAAAAATATATATATATACATTTTTTTTTTGCGGGGTGCCGACGACCCTGGACCGGTAGGTGCCGACCAGCCGATCAGTCAAGGGCCGCCGACTGTCGGGGGGTGCAACACTGCTTAGCACACTGAATAGTAAAATGCCAAATAGAACGAATTCACGCATTCTGATTTTTCTTTCTTTTGTCCAGACTCTAAAACAGATTTGATTGATCATTCACACAGCGTCCATCCAGGTCGCAGTTGCCAAGCTTCTGTCGGCTTACTTACAGTCGCTAACTAAGGAATGCACATACCCAAAAGACAGCGGAGGGAAAAGCCTAGCCTCGGTACAGCCTGGGGGAGCCCAGGAAACAGCCTAGGGGGGGACAACCAGGAGGAAGGAGGAAGGAGGAGGGCGGCGAGAGAAGGGACAAGGGACAACGGATGTGGGACACCAGACATGGGACGCAGGAAAGGGTGGAGGGAAGAGGGACAAAGGAAGGAGGAAGGGGGAGGGAAGAGGAAGAGCAGGGAGAGCAGGAAGGACACGGGGGAATAAGGGAGTTCAACAAGGCAAGCATAGCAGATGCACACTATACGTACCCTTTCTCTTTCCACCCCCCTGATCAACATAGCGTGCAGTGTCATTGAACACTCGAAGCATTGGAACTATGCCGTTAGAGGTACCATTCGTGCCACGAATATAACTGGACCTGGCCCTGATATTGTGAACAGACAGGCCTATTCCCCCTGCGCTCTTGCTAATCACAGCACATTCTTTGAGGGTATCATAGATCCCCTCAATGCTATCGTCCTTCATGCACACAAGGAAGCAGCTGCTTAGCTGAGAACAAAAAAAGACAAAACACACAACCACACAAATTGAGTCAGGTACAATGTAAAAAGCATAAGGAAACATGGGTTAAGAACAAAAACACAGAAAAAGGCCACTGGCAGACAGACACCGAGCCCTCAGACCATACCAGCAGTGCAGCAAGAAGCAGAGAAACGAGCCGTGCAATCAGGCAGTGAAAAAAAACCAGCAAGACACAGAACATCCTCTCTCTCTCTCTCTCTCTCTCTCTCTCTCTCTCTCTCTCTCTCTCTCTCTCTCTCTCTCTCTCTCTCTCTCTCTCTCTCTCTCTCT